AACAAATCCCAGCTCAAACTTTCACCTGCATGTCCACGAGTGTCCACACGGCCTCTGGCTGAAAAACTTCATCAGATACTAAAGCTATTAAGTCAGCATCAGTTACTCTCTGTATCACAAAGGAACAAAGACAACCAGGAGACACTATATAAATGTGGTTAAAATGTTTGGAAAATTCAGGAACACTTCCCAAACAAGTTCTTACTACCTTTTTTTGCTCAGCCACAGATTTGAAACGCCAGAAAAGGTTGCTAAGCTGCACATCATCTAATTCATAACCGAGCTGAAAATGAAAAACATAATATTTTTTTGTTATAAGGATGGTAGCAGTGAGTATGGATATGGGTGACGATTATTATGTACCTCATTCAAACGGTCTCTCAGTGCATGACGCCCACTGGATTAAGATAAATAAATTAGTACTGGTTTGAACAAGACTAGGATTAACAGACTGAACAAACAAAACTTTCATACCTAAGCTTCCCCAACACAATCCCAGCTTCATTCGATCGCTCAAGTCCGATCTCTTCGGGGCTCATAATTTCATATGTACCCTTGTGTTTCAGCATTCCATCCTAAACAGAACGCATTAACAGTAACTAAGCTCTATTCAGAAGACTGAAAGAGTATAACATGCTAGTCATGAGTAAAGGACAGTCAAAGAAACAATAAGAAAAGTATAAAGTAGACCTCGTCAACTGACCTGATGGATACCACTTTCATGCGCAAAGGCATTAGCTCCTACGATAGCCTTATGGGGCTGCGTTTGCATACCAGTGTACTCTTCAACCTAAGCAAATGAGAATATGAGTTCAACCTTACAAGTCCTCTTCTTTTAAAAAATATACTTTCGTTTCCACTACATGACGAGTGAAGTTCAAAACGTGTACCATCTTGCTTGTCATAACAATATGCCGAGTATCAATTCCAGTAAATAGGCCTCCTAATACCTGATCTCCACGGCATTTTATGGCCATCACAACCTATACAGTTAACAAGAAAACATTCAAGTAACAATCAAGCTACAGGAGGAAGTTTATCATACAAAAATATAATCTAACCTCTTCTAACGAAGCATTTCCAGCTCTTTCCCCAATCCCATTGATTGTCACTTCCACTTGCCTCGCACCCGAATGTGCACCCTGAATTCAAAGAAAGATTCGACATTTTAGTAACGATTCGTAACACTGACCTGATCCAACAAAAAAAAGAAAAGAAAAGAGATGACATACAGATAGAGTATTGGCGGTGGAGAGTCCGAGATCATTCTGACAATGTGTAGAGATTATAACATTTTGGATCCCATGAGTATTGGCTTTAATATCAGCAATCAACTGACCAAACTCACTAGGCAATGTTATACCAACAGTGTCAGGTATGTTTAGAGTTGTTGCTCCAGCTTTTATCACTTCACCAAGAATCTCATATAAGTACTCTCTCTCCGATCTGAAATGCACCAAGTGAGACAATTTACAAATAAGAAACAGTTTTCACATCACTGTTCCAAAGTCAACATTTTGAGGAAAAATTCAATTTTTAATTGGTATTTTGCTAAGAATCGGTAAAAATCAATCACAAGACTGTACCTTCCTGCATCTTCTGGACTAAATTCAACATCTTCACATCCTAAGCTCCTTGCGAATCTAACCATATTCCTGGCGATTTCAATAACTTCTTCTTTGCTCTTCTTAAGCTTATGCTTCAAGTGAATGTCACTGGTAGCTATAAAGGTATGGATCCTAGGCCGTTTTGCGTACCTCACAGCTTCCCAAGCCGTCTCTATATCCTTCTTGTTACATCTCGAGAGACCACAGATTACAGGAACATAGCCATTTTCGTCGACGGAATTACCAACAGTTTCCGCTATGGTCTTCACAGCTTCGAAATCGTCTTTCGAAGCAGCGGGAAACCCAGCTTCGATGATGTCGACTCCGAGTTTCGCTAATTGACGAGCGATGTCGAGCTTTTCCTTGGAGGTTAACGTAGCTCCGGGAGATTGTTCGCCGTCTCGGAGAGTCGTATCGAAGATTCTGACGTAATTTGGATCGGAAATGCGGTTAGGGATGTAATCAGGACGACGGCGAGGAGAATACGGAGGTAGAGGAGACGAATCAGAGAGAGAACACGAGAGATGGAATTTTCCGGCGGTGCTAAGGGCAACGGAACGGTGGTGATGCGATCGGAGATTAAGAGATGATAATGGTGAGGAGAAGGAAGAGGATAAGGTGGGAATCGAAAGTATACACAAAGATGGTGAAGTGAGATTAGAGCTACTGAGAATCGAAGTCCCCATTGCAATGGAAACCTTAGCGAGAGAGAGATGACAGTGTACCGGCGGCGACGACGGAACTGTGTCTCAGGTCACACACTATTTGCTAGTGAATTTTTTTTTTTTCTCTTATTTGAAAATTTTCTGGACCGAAATCAAACCGTATACTTTGGTTTTGTTTCCGGTTTAAGATTTTCATTAAACCGGAATTAATTTGAGATTGAACCGGTTTCATGCTTGTCTTTTTGACTCCTTTAGTTTTCATCGCCTGCACCAACCTCAGAAAGGACGTTTATTCAAATATATAACTCCATTTTATTTCGTTTCTTCGTTATAGTCAAAAAGCGAAACAAACCAGAGGTTTTCTTTGTGTGTTTTAGGTATCGTTCATGGCTTTGACTACAAAAACTCACCATCTTCAGAGATCTTTCCTCTCTCCGGAGCGTCTTTCCGGCCAGCGATATTCGGAATCTGCGCCGCCGTCATATCTGAGATTCCGCCGTAGCGGTGTGCAATGCTCGGTGGTGGCTAAAGAGTGTAGAGTGAAAGGAGTGAAAGCGAGACAGATTATTGATAGTAGAGGTAATCCGACGGTTGAGGTTGATCTGATTACCGATGATCTGTATCGGTCGGCTGTTCCCAGTGGTGCATCTACCGGGATCTACGAGGCGCTTGAGCTTAGAGATGGAGATAAGAGCGTCTATGGTGGTAAAGGTGTTTTACAGGCTATTAGAAACATCAACGACTTAGTGGCTCCGAAACTCATCGGAGTTGACGTTAGGTAAGAGTATGAATCTATTTCCAGAATCCATTGATTTTCGGTAGTGTTTGACTTGGATTCCAATTGTTTTTGAACTCTAGATTGTGAGGTTTGAGGAATCTAGTAAAGGTTTATTGAGGTTCTTTGTGGCATGTAGCTTTTAATTTTGATTGATACTAGTACTAAGTGTTGAAGTAGGTGGGATTGTTGACTTGTTCAATTTGTGGCAAGCTGTGTGTGTAATATTTGAATCTTATTTTTCCGTCAAGGAACCAAGCTGATGTTGATGCGCTTATGTTGGAGCTGGATGGGACACTGAACAAGTCGAAACTCGGGGCAAATGCTATTTTAGGAGTATCGTTGAGTGTTTGCAGGGCAGGTGCTGGAGCTAAAGGAGTGCCTTTGTACAAACATATCCAGGAACTATCGGGAACAAAGGAGCTTGTCATGCCAGTTCCTGCATTCAATGTGATCAATGGAGGTAGTCATGCTGGGAATAGTTTGGCTATGCAAGAGTTTATGATACTACCGGTAGGAGCAACCTCATTCTCGGAAGCCTTTCAAATGGGAAGTGAAGGTCAGTTAGTGATATTTGAGTTTAACCTGCTACAACCTAATAAACCATGGTGGCTTCTATTTATTTTTGAGTTTGCAATGAATGTCAGAGAAACTGAAAAGCCGTTATAAGCATCGTCCTTTTCATTTGGTTCCCAAGTTCTTTTTATTATTTGGATTATTACAAAGCATTGTTCTTCTGATAGTAATGCATTTATGTTGTTGGTTACAGTCTATCATACGTTGAAGGGGATAATCAAATCTAAGTACGGTCAAGATGCTTGTAATGTTGGAGATGAAGGAGGATTTGCTCCGAATGTTCAAGATAACAGAGAGGGACTAGTTTTGCTCATAGATGCAATTGAAAAGGCCGGTTACACTGGAAAGGTAGTCAAATTCTCCTTTTAAATGCATTAGTTCTTGTTTCACATGATAAAAATCTGTGCATGTCTTTTGTGTTTCCCTAATAACCTTCTGGAAGCTGTTGTTTTAAATTTTACACCACTCACACTTTTAATAATTTTGCAGATCAAAATAGGAATGGATGTTGCTGCATCAGAGTTTTTCATGAAAGATGGTAGATACGATCTGAATTTCAAGAAACAACCAAACGATGGAGCTCATGTTCTATCAGCTGAGAGTCTTGCTGAACTCTACAGAGAATTCATCAAGGATTTCCCAATTGTCTCTATCGAAGATCCTTTCGACCAGGATGATTGGAGCTCATGGGCTTCATTGCAATCCTCTGTGGATATCCAACTCGTCGGGGATGACTTGTTGGTCACTAACCCGACTAGAATAGCTGAAGCTATTAAGAAAAAGTCTTGCCATGCTCTACTGTTGAAGGTAAAACTAAATGTTTTTTATCATTCATTACTTTCTCCTACCCAATTTCCCTCTCTTACTGACCTCAATTCCCTCTTCTTTAATGCTCTAAACCTTTTATCAGAACCGCGGTTATTAGAGAGTGGATTTCATCTCGTGTGTAAATTCCTGGTTTAACAGGTTAACCAGATTGGAACAGTGACCGAGTCAATTCAAGCAGCACTTGACTCAAAAGCTGCAGGCTGGGGTGTGATGGTTAGTCACAGGAGTGGCGAGACAGAGGACAACTTCATCGCAGATCTTTCTGTTGGTTTGGCAAGCGGACAGGTATATTTGAATTCTCTAAACCTGCCAAATCATAGTGTGGTTTACTCTTTAGTGTTCTCTTATCATTTCCTGTTTTGTAGATCAAAACTGGAGCTCCATGCCGAAGTGAACGATTGTCAAAATACAACCAGGTAATTAACAAACATCCAAACTTATACAACTAAATAAAACCTCGAATCCAGCAAAACTTGACACACCAAGTATTTGCATAGCTGATTGTTTCGAATCTCCTGTTTGTAATTTTCACATTTTTGTTAGTAGAACCTTTAAAGTAAACTGAAATAAGTATCGAAGTGAGAAGAGGAAATCTGAAACCGTGAGTTTTTTTGTTTACGTTGCAGCTTCTACGTATCGAAGAGGAACTCGGCAATGTGCGCTATGCCGGCGAAGCTTTCAGATCACCATGAGAAAGGCATTCGTTGGCTTTTGTAGCTGTCTTTGAAAAAATGATCAAATTTTCTAGAAAACAAAATAAAAAGAAACAGCAATTCCACGAAGTCTTGTGTGTTGTAATGTGATTGATACTGATATGTAGATGGCTGGACCAGGCATTTTTCAGATTAATCGGATAACCGAGTTAAACCGGAGTTTACCATTATCTTTGGTCATGACCGATTTGATTGTTCCTACAGTTTCTAGTGATTAAAATTTAAGAAGAGTGTTGTTCGAGTGTGACTTAATAAGGACTCTGAAGACAAATAAAAACAGTACAGACAAATTTGTCGGTCAACAACCAATTCGTTGACGTTTTCCATTCAGCTAAGCAAAACAAATAAAGGTCATCAAATGAAATTAATTAAAGATGCTACTAATATTTATAAACTGTAAATCCGAGATGTGAATTGAATTTTTTATTTTTTTTCTGTTTACAAATACAAATGGAAGATGATAATATAATAATATTTCAATTTAGGACCCGAAACGATGTACAGATTTATAGCAACATTGTGAGCAAGTTATATTCTCCTTCTCACAAATTGTTTTTGCACAATTTACCATTTTGATGATAAAACTGACCGTAACACGTAATGGCTCTAATGGGAAAAACATTTGAGTCACGTGGAAGTTGTTTTTCCGTCTCCAAATTGATTTCCTTTTGCAATCATCATCAACCCATCAGCCATCAAGAAACAACAGCCGCTAATTAATGAGCACATATTACTTGCTTTCTTTTTTCCTTCACATGC